CTTTATGTTCAACAAAACTGAGTAATATTATCGAGATAAAACAAACGTGCTATCTCCCACAACTCGAAATCTGTCGTTTTGTCAAATACTGTATAAAATATTTTCAAATATGATAGGAATAGTAACAAGAATTTATTTATCAATGAGATATCGTTAAAAAGCTTGAGCTATACATGTTATATTAAAAATGATTAGTTTTCTCTCTCTCTCTCTATATATATATCTTATTATATTCTAGTTACTACATCATACACAACTTCTCAAACACCAACCAATTCAAATTTGACATACATTATAAGTAGCTTTGGTTATTCAGGTACTCATTTCCTATGATCGTTAGAATGCTATAGTTTTCTTTTCTTTTTCAAAGGTGATACTACATATCAAATGATTACAGGTACTTCTATGACAAGTCAAGCGCCAACTACCATGAATCCAACTGGTTATTGTATGAATGGAACTCATATAATATTAAATAATGGTACGTGTGTCTCAAGAGCAGATGAACAAGTAAGATAAATTATTCATATATTCATCTTTCATTGTCTATTTCTCTCTACAGGCGTATCTTGTCTCGGTAATACTTGGTAATTCTTCTAATAGTACTGCAAAATCTGATGCTCTTCAGTCATATTTAAATGTAATTAATAATTCAACTGTATCATCAAATTCTAATAATACTTTATCAATTGGACAAATTAATCAGGTAGTTGGTAGTTTAACATCTGATAATTATTCAAACGCTAACGGAGATTCATTTATCCTTCTGACACAGCCTGGTACAAATCTTACTAATAAAACGATAATAGGTGTTTCCTACGCACCCATTCGTAATGATACAATTGTGAATACAGCAAATAAAGATAATGTAACTGATCGAATCCAACAAGTAATAGGTATTATGGAACTAGAATCGTTGAGTGGTGCTACGTCTTTCAATATGTTGCTGATCAATAATCCTTCTTCATTTCAAAATCAAGATAATTCGAGCAGCGGAATAAAAGTAGTATCATCGATTGTTATTTCCACGGTGAACACAGCAAATTATGTAAATAATCTAAATATTGGATTATATTTTCAAGTTTTACAGTTTTATGGTGCTGGAACACACATGTGTGCATTTTATAACACAACAACCTCTCAATGGGATAATGCCGGTTGTTCACCAGCAGTTTATAATCCAATGTTTAACCGATATGAATGTAATTGTAATCATTTAACATCTTTTGCTCTTATTTGGTTACCACCACCATTGAATAGTATAGACAGTCAATGGGATATTCAAGATACCATATCGATTGTAGTTGAAGTTCTTTCAATTGCATGCTTCATAGGTGTTCTAATTCATATGAATTTAAATTGTAATAAAGATTCAATGGATTATACTCAAAAAAGAAGTGTATTACCATTAATTTCAGTTGGAATAACAATGATTCTTTTTATTTTTTATATTGCACTTGGATTAACAGTTTATTTCGGACGTCGATCACCAAATACTTCTAATACGCAACAAAACAATCAAAATACACGTTCCTTAGACGTTTTGTCTCCTCGAATAATTCCTCCAACTGGAATATCTAATAATACTTTTACTCCATGTGAACCAGTCGAACTTGGATTAATGAATATTGTTTATTTCTTAATTATTTTTATGTTTGGCGTTAAAACAAGTGTTGCTTATTTTAATTATAAACATTTTGTTCAATTATTTCCTCCACCGAACCGTCGATATCTTTTTATTGCCCTTGGTATATCAGCTCTGATTGGCATAATTTTTATGAGTTGTGCTGCTGGTATTAATAACAATTCATCACATAAAATTATTCAAATATATCTCAACAAGATTTGTTGGTTTACACATGATGTTATCCACTACTTTTTAACTATACCGATATGCATATTTCTCGTATTAAATATCATTTCAATCTTTTTAGTTGCAAGACACGAAATGAAATCTTCTAGTGACGAGAAGTCCAAAATAAGACATCGACGAAGAAAATATTGTGTAATTTTTCTATTAATATCTTGTCTTACTCAAGGTTTAAGTTGGGCCTTTGGCTTCTTAATTACAAATCTCGATGCGGAAGGTGCTGATATAGCTGGTTGGTTTTTTGTTATTTTCAATGGATTGGAAGGTGTCTGGGCTATACTTTTATATTGTATTATTCGAAAAGAGAAAATAGATGAAGACGAAGGAAGAGAGGAAAGACGTGAAGACAACGACAGACCGGCTGAGTATGTGGCATTACACGATTTGAGTACTCATAGACCGGACAGTTCAATTGATAATCAAAATGATGAGACGATATCCAGACAATTGACAGCTTTGAGAAGTGATCCACTACGTAATTCATATGCTGATTTAGATGAAGTGCATATCCAACATCGCCCTCGTCATGATAATAAGGATAATTTCGATGAATTGAACATGCATCATCGCCCTCGTCGTGGTAATAATGATGATCAGTAAATATGAACTAGTTCATTATTATTATTGATGTCCAACAGAACCTTATTTAGAGTATCGTCTCGTTTTATTTTGAATAACCAATTTTGTATTGGATTATAAAATTAATGTATTTTTATTTTTCATTTCTTTAAATAAAACTTATTTCTTTAAAAAGTAGATCTAGTTTCTAAATTATTCAAATCAATATTACAATAAATATTGACATATTATCTACTAAGAAAATGAAATTTATTAATTATATTATGAATTGTAGAATGTTATTTATTAACTGAATATGTAAATAAAAACATCATTTCATATATATTTTTTTAATTTTATTGAAGAATTTTAATATGTTGTCATAGATTCTAATTTGCTGACTTTGTATATTGGATGTATCGAAGATTTTTTATCAGCATTCTTTTTTGCAATGCACTGAGTAATCTGTTGTGTAATACAAATATTCCTTGAGATCATCTATTTATTGTACAAATTCTAGTCATATTATTTAATAAATTACGATTTATTCAAAATAGATAATTATAAATATATTCCAATTTGATATATTTGCCTTCAAGTGCAATATAGAATAATCAATGAAATATATAGTATATAATAAAAAAGAAAACAACTTTTACATCTTTTGTAATAAATAGATCTAATTTTCAAGCAATTATACTTGAAAAATTATATGAAACTATTAATAAGAACTTGAACCTAAACATACAACAAGTAAGAATAGATGAATTTATTTCTAGTTATTTTCTAATGAGAAAAGAATCGATTCTTTTTATGATTCAATTCAAACTACAACGTACAAAGTAGTTCTAATTTTTTTTCTCTTTTCATTTTGAAGAAAATAATTGAGTTTTTTTTGATTTTGTACATATCGAATGAAAATTATAGTAAGTCAACACTTCTCTAGTTAGCAGATATTTATTTTGAAATATCGCGGTTTACTTCCTTTTTACACTTGGATGATATAATTTTTTATTGATTTTACGTTTATCACTATGTGATAGTCTCAAGTGCTTTCTTAATTGTAGTATAATGGAAGAAATATCATAAAATATTCATGTTTCTTCGTTTTTAATGATTTTAGAGATTTTCATTATTTATTGATCATCTGTCTTTTTGCAATAGAAAAAGATTTTCTTCTTTATACTTTATATCATTCATCTTTTATTTATCAGGTTAAATAGAACTAGCTATTATAAGTATTACAAAACAAAACATTTATTTTGTGTATTGAAATATCACTTCCTATTCTATACCGATTTATTTATACTCTTACATGCATAGGTAAATACAAATTTGTAAAATCTTAGATCCAATATAGAAATTAATAGCAATAGAACTTAAGTCAATACTTTTTCTTTAGATTCGAATAAGAAAAAAAATATTTAATTTTCTGTACTGTACTTCTTTTTTATCATATATGTATGAATTGTCAAGTGACATTGATTATAAACTCAGTTTTATAACAAATTGTATATATCAATTTTTTCTTTTATATCAAAAGTCAAGATAAAAGGAACAAGAATAATTCTTTCCATCGATAATAGACTTTTTGAAAGAGTAATCATAATGATTATGAATAGAAAATCTTATGTTGTGTTTTTATTGATCTTCAATATTTTTATAATCACTATACAATCATATGATAATCTGAAATTTTCAATTGATGATAATGATACTGATATACATACTCAAACTCCACATAAAAAATCAATTGATAATACCAACAATCGACAAAGGGTAAGACGCGCTCCACCAGATGACACATCAACAATCGATTATAGCATAGAAACTATGACAAGTAGGAATATTTCATTTTTATTGAATATCTCTCTGAAATATATTCTTTGTTCTCTAGCTGGATTACCATTAAATACTTTAACTTTTCCAGACATAATCGAAACAACTACTCAAACCATTCCTAGTATGTGTCAGTGAGATTTGTACAATCACTTAATAGACTCAAATTTTTGAATAATATATCAGATCCTATTTATCTCCATACTTTTTAAAACTGTGGATGTATTAGTTTAAGACATTTAGCTGATGTCAGTTATAGAATAACTCACTCGATTAAAATTGATATTGATTTTTTTTGTCATCTATTTTTCTTTCTTTAAAAATTCTTCAAAGCAAAAAAGAAACAACGAATTGATTGATTTAGAGGAAATCTTAACTTTGATAAATTCTGTTCTCTTGTCAAGTCATATGAAATCTAAATTGAATATCTACTGATTCTCATTACAAATATGTTCAATTATCAATTGTATAGAGTCAATTTAAAAGTTATGCGACGATCAATATTATCTTTCTAATATCACTTCTATCTATCTATGTAGGAAATTACGATTGGTATGGAATAATAATGCCAAATTCTTCTGTATTAAATAATACTGTTACTTACTATTGGAATGCAACAATAATGACAAATTCTTCTGTATTAAATTATACTGCTACTTTGTATGGGAATCTAACACTAACGAGAGTTTTTTCTATATTAAATAATACTGTTACCTTATATTGGAATCTAATAATGATAATCAGCTCTTCTGAAATAAATAGTACTGCTACTTCATATGGGACTACAACAATAGTGACAAGTTCTTCTGCATTAAATGATCCTGCTACTTCATATCAATATCTAAGAGTAATGACCAGTTCTTCTGTATTAAACAATAATGCTACTTTATATTGGGATCTATCAATAACGGAAATTTCTTCTGAATTAAATTATATTCCTTATTTATATTGGAACCTAATGCTAAGGACAAATTCTTCTGAAATAAATAATACTACTACTACTTCATATTGGAATTCAACACTAACGACAAGTTCTACTGTAATGAATAATACTACTGCTTCTATTATCGTTACACCAACTACTACTGCTCCTTCTTATAATCCTGACACTTGTAATAGTGACTTACAAGTAGCATTACCCAATGGTTCTTGTGTATTCAAAGAATTGGGCTTAGTATGAAAACAAAAAGTCTTATTTATTGCATTTCTATATCTTTATAAAATAGGACTTCGCACTCAATATACTGAATACATCTGCTAATGCAACTGACAAAGCCAACGCTCTGATTTTATATTTTAGCTCAATTGAAAACACAAATACAACAAATATATTAGGAGTGGATCAAATCGATAGATATCTTAGTAGTCTTGATATTAATTTAGATATTACATCAAACTCATCATTCATCATGGCAAAATCACCACATCAACCAGCTGATAGAATCATTTTAGGTGCTTCATTTACACGTGGTACGGGTGGAAAAATAATCGATACACAAAATTTCAATCGACGTATAAGCTCAGAATTATCAGCTGCAGCTACTGTTAGTAATGAATCTTTATCTGATGTTCAATCATTGAATATGATTATTATTGATAATCCTTCAGCATATATAAATATTGATAATTCAACGGATAAGAAACTCGTTTCATCAATTATTATCGCCAATGTACAAAGAAATAATATATCAACTAGTGCTATGAATATTTCATTATATTTTCGGAATGTATTGAAACCTGAACTTGATGTGAATGACAATTACATTTGTTCGTTTTATGATGTAAATACATTTAAATGGAATGATTCTGGTTGTTCACAAGCTCAGTATAATAAAAATTTAAATCGATATGAATGTAGTTGTAACCATTTTACTTCATTTGCTCTTATTTGGTTACCAAAACAATCACTCACATCATATCTCAATTCTCAAGATATTGCATCACTTGTATTTCAATCAATCTCAATCATCTGTTTCTTACTAATTATTATTCATGCCATGTTTAGAACAATTCGAATTCCATTAAATACTTTTCAAATGTATACTCTACTTCCATTGATATCTAGTGCTACTACAACTATTCTTTTCATCTTTTATATTGCACTTTCGATGACAGTTTATACACAAACATCATCTTCTCATCAAACAAATTGTTTTACAAGTTCAACTGTACTTATGTTCTTCACCTATTTCTTTTTGATCTTTATGTTTTGTGTGAAAACAAGTGTTGGATATTTTAATTATCTTCGATTTGTTCATTTATTTCCTCAACCATCACATCGAAAACTATTTATAATGCTTTTCATTTCATTCCTTATTTCTCTAATATGGATGGCATTTGCAGTTGGATTTTATTCTGATTCATCATTAGATATTATAAAACTATATCCATATAAACTATGCTGGTTTACAAGTGATATGATATATTATTTTTTGAGTATACCTGCATGTTTATTTCTCTTCATTAATATAATACTATTTATTATTGTTGGTAGTCACATAATAAATCATGTTCGAAATGCAACATCCGTTCATCAGTCATACGAAAGAATGAAACGATGTGTGGTAGTTTTACTTTCATCATGTATAACTCAAGGAATTGGTTGGTTGTTTGGTGTATTTATTTCATTTGTAAATAGTGAAAGTGGATATATATTGGGATGGTTTTTCGTAGTATTTAATGGACTGGAAGGTCTCTGGTCGATTATTTTATACATGATAATACGATCACAACAGATGGATGAACAGAAACGTATTACTGCTTATAAAAAGCTTACAGAATCAACACCAATTTCAACTGTGAAAAGTAAAGAAAATTATCTTAATGACAGCGTATCAAAACGATCAAAAAAGACTAATACAAACTCACGAAAAAAATCGCATATTTTCAATAGATCATATAATATTAAAGGAATTGATGGAATTAGTAGTGAATGCTAAAGACAATTATCTTTTTTAAATAGTTATATTTTTTGTAAAATAAAAGAATTGTTTTCGATCTGATATTTTCTTTCATGATTTTCAAAGACAGAATATAGTGGATCGCAGCAAATAATGTAATCTAATGGATTAATAAAACATATACACAAATGTCTTCATTTGTTCTCGAACTATATACGATCCATATCGAAGTGATTCAATTATGACAAAACAATCTTTTTTCTATTTAATTAATTTTTGAATAAATATGTTATATGTCTATTTTGAAAACAATTATAAAAAAATATCATCAAGTACTAAAATATATAACATCTATTTGATTGGAATATTAAATTTACAATAATGATTTAATAAAACTCCATCTTTCCGAGAGATTACTTTTAACAATATACATCTAATCCCATATACTTCAATGAATGTTTTTCTATTAAAAATATTATCTGTCTATAAAGTATATAATACATCAACATGGAATATCTTGTGGAATAGTCTTTCTTTTCTTTGTGTCTACTTCTATTTTTATCTGAACTCTTCAACCATGGATTGATCATTCATGAAAGTACTACGAAAAACTATAGTTACATTTATTAAAGATTACACATAAAACATGTTAAAATGTAGTAGAACTGATAAAACTAATAACGTCCTCACGAAAGTTATTACGATATTTTATAGTATCAAATGATTAGTTATAAATATACAATTTATGCTCGTTTTTTAAATGAAAAGAAACTCATTACTTAACTTTATTTATCTTATTTTTCAACATTACTAGCGACATATTTGTAGAGGCATTTTTTCGTGATTCTATTCGTTAAATTTTTATTTCCAATAAATCTGTTTATGCCACGTTTCAATTCAATCCTCATCATCATCACACTCATATTGAAGTTTATTCTATTATTTGCCACATTTACAAGTTTGAATGGCGACTTATCAAGAATTTATAGCTCAAAATGAAGAACGTGATGGTGTGCGTTTTACATGGAATGTATGGCCATCAACTCGCCTTGAAGCAACACGTCTTGTTGTACCACTTGGTTGTCAATTTACACCATTAAAAGAACGATATGATTTACCACCATTAAATTATGATCCTGTTTTATGTACAAATAAAACATGTCGATCTGTTTTAAATCCATTTTGTGCTGTTGATTATCGAGCAAAAACATGGACATGTAATTTTTGTTTACAACGTAATAATTTTCCACCGCAATATGCTGGAATTACTGAACAACTTCAACCAGCAGAACTTTCACCTCAATATACAACTATTGAATATACATTAACGGTAAAAAAAATAGATTTTATTTTAAAATTCAAATCAATATTTTTGTTTTCTTTTAGCGTACACCAGCTCAACCAGCTGTATTTTTATTTGTTGTGGATACATGTATGGATGAAGATGATATGACAGCATTAAAAGTAAGTTTAGATATTATTTAGTAACACTGAGAAAATATACAACGAAGAAATCGATTGACAAATTGTACTCAATCTGAAATTAAAGGATTAAGTGGTTCTTTTTTATTCATAGGAATCATTACAAATGGCTTTAAGTTTATTACCAACAGATGCACTTGTTGGTTTAATAACTTTTGGTCGTATGGTACATATACATGAGCTTAATTGTGAAGGTATGACACGTAGTTATGTTTTTCGTGGTACAAAAGATTATACAGCTAAACAAGTTCAAGTAAAATAAATTTATTTACAAAATAGTTCGATTATAAATTATTTTATAGGATATGCTTGGTTTAATGAAACAACAGGGTAATCAAAGACCATTACCTGGCAATCCAAATATGCCACCACAACAACAGCCCCAAAATTTTTTTAGCAAGTAAGAATATAATTATATATTCTATTAAGAACTCTTTTATTTTTTTTATCGATTAGATTTATTCAACCACTTTCCGCATGTGATATGTCGTTGACAGATCTTCTTGGTGAACTTCAACGTGATCCATGGCCTGTATTACAAGGTAAACGTGCTTTACGTTCAACTGGAGCAGCACTTTCAATCGCAGCTGGTTTATTAGAAGTATGAAATATTTTAAAAATTGAAAATTTTCTTTGCATTAAAAAGAATTTATATTCAGACACTCTATCCAAATACTGGAGCACGTGTAATGGTATTTATTGCTGGTCCATGTACACAAGGTCCAGGTATTATTATTGATGAAGAATTTAAACATACAATTCGTTCTCATCATGATATCGAAAAAGATAATGCTAAATATATGAAAAAAGCCATAAAAGTATATTATAAAATAATTTTTGTATATTTATTTAAATTTTATATTCATTTTTTAGTTTTATGAAGCATTATCAAATCGTTCAGCTGTTAATGGACATGTTATTGATTTATATTCATCAGCTTTAGATCAAACTGGTTTACATGAAATGAAATATTGTTCAAATTATACAGGGTAATTTTTTTTTGATTATAATTTTATAAAATTATTTTCGTTTTTAGTGGTCATATGGTTATGGGTGATTCATTTAATACATCATTGTTTAAACAAACATTCCAAAAAGTTTTTGCTAAAGATAATAAAAATGAATATCGAATGAGTTTTGGTGCAACCATTGAAGTTAAAGTAAAATATAATAATTCCTCGTATTGATTTCATTTGATTAAAAAAAATTTTCTTTTTTTCAAGACAAGTCGAGAACTGAAAGTTTGTGGTTCCATTGGCTCTTGTGTTTCACTTGCACAACGTGCATCAAATGTTTCAGAAACTGAATTAGGTATGGGTGGAACAAATGCATGGAAAATTTGTGGAATTTATCCAAATTCAACATTATCAGTGTTTTTCGAAGTACTTAATCAAGTAAGAAAAACGTTTTATAATTAATTTATCAAATAATAATATTTAATTATTTAGCAACAAGGATCAGCACAAGCTCAACCAGGTGGTCAACGAGGTTATGTACAATTCATTACACAATATCAACATTTATCTGGTTTTAAAAAAATTCGTGTTACAACTGTAGCAAGAAAGTATGTCATTGTGATCTCTTAAGTTCGATTTAGAAAAAAAACACATCATTACTATGTCTTAATTAAAAATAGATTATCGATGTCATATGAGAGTTTTTGTATTCATGCCAATTAATCTTGATACATTAGAATCAGGAAACTCTTTTGTTAGTCACACATTAATACGATTGCACTTGAAAAAAAAACTTACATGACGTAAAAATTAACAAAACTGTTCTATGCCGAGATTAAATGAACCCTGGAGAAAGTTTTTCTTTTTTCGAAAAAATAATTGTCTTTTCCAATTGATGTATATGTCTATACTTTTGATGACATACACAGGAAAAAGGAAATAGTGGAAGATATATATTTAAAAAATCGGAAATATGCTTGTTGCGTTCAGGTTTCTTTTGTATTAATTAGTTTTTTTTAAAAATAGAACATGAAATGAAAGAGACATATAATCTGTCTTAGAATTATTTGAAAAATATAATTAATTTATTCAAATATGATACTTTTTTTGTTCTAGTTTAATTGATGCAGCAACAAATATGCCAACAATAGCTGCTTCATTTGATCAAGAATGCGCTAGTGTAGCTATGGCTCGTATAGCAGTTTATCGTTCTGATACGGAAGAAGGTTCTGATGTTCTTCGATGGTTAGATAAAATGCTTATTCGACTTGTATGTAATCTCATCAAATTGAATTTTTTTAATATTAATAATTATATAATCTAGTGTCAAAAATTCGCTATTTATGACAAAGATAATCCGGCTTCATTCCAATTGACAGATACATTTACACTTTATCCACAATTTATGTATCATTTACGTCGTTCACAATTTCTTCAAGTTTTTAATAATAGTCCAGATGAAACAGCATTCTACCGGTATGAAATTAATATTCTATATAATAATAATATTATTATTTCTTTCTTTATAGACATTATTTACTTGTAGAAGATTTAACCCAATGTCTTGTTATGATTCAACCAATTCTTTATGCTTATTCATTTGGTGGTCCACCGGAGGTAAAAAAAATTATTTAGAATAAAATTTAAAACCTTATTTTCTCTTGTTTAGCCGGTACTTCTTGATAGTAGCAGTATATTACCTGATCGTATACTTTTAATGGATACATTTTATCATATATTAATTTATCATGGCGAAACTATTGCACAATGGATTAAGGCTGGTTATCAAGAGTTACCAGAATATGAAAATTTTAAGCAACTTTTACAAGCACCTGTTGGTGATGCAACAGAAATTCTTCAAAATCGTTTTCCTATGCCACGTTATATTGTTACCGAAGCTGGAGGATCACAAGTATATACATACTTTATTTTATTGTGTCTGATATTTAATATTATTTAATTTTAGGCTCGTTTTCTCTTATATAAAGTGAATCCATCCCAAACGCATACTAATTATGGATGGGGACAGGTAAAATAGAAAATTCATATTAATATTACTAGAAAATAATTTTGTTTTTAGGCTGTTGGCGCACCGATTTTAACTGATGATGTTAATTTACAAACATTTATGGAACATTTGAAGAAGCTTGCTGTGTCAACAACGACATAAAAATCTTCTTCAATTTTAGTTTGCTTTTTTTCTGTTATTTTATTTAATAAATCTATTCATGTATGCGTCTTTTTTTGTCGTTTTTAAAGTAAATGGTAAAATCGATTAGCAGTTTTAGAATCTTTATATGTTAAACGAACTGTTAAAAATAATATGCAAATTTTCTTTTTTATGGTTCATTTCCACAAACAATTATACCAATGATAAACTAATACAAGAAATAAGATTGTAGAAAAAAAAATTAGTTAAATAATTTCGATTAATTAAGTCGATTCTAAACCAATAGAAATCGAGTTTGATAATTAGAAAAACGGATATATTTACTATTCTGTTTTCTTAGCTTTTAGCATACTCATGAATCATTAATTGAGATCATTTCAGATACATTACATAGTTTCAATTCAATAGATATAATTGATATTTCTTGAATT